AATTTATAAACCCCACCAAGAAAATTGCTTTTCCCAGAATTACTTAGTAAGTCAATAAGTTTATTGCAGTTTTTATACTCTACGATAATATATTTAGCATTATGAATCGTTTATAACTTATTATTGAAGTTTTTATGATATAGGTAAAATTAAGTTTAGTTATTAAGTAAAAAGGGTTTATTTAAAATATTATTTTTCGCAGTGTTAGCGTGGTATGTTAATTTACAGTACGCTACTCTATGGTTTGCATATTATTGACGAATTTAACGTAACAGTTATTCTTATCGCCTGATTAATTTAACATGCTTTATTTTCTCTTTCTATTGTTCTATTAATGTTTCTCATAGATTGCTCAGCAAATACACTAGATTACTCAAAGAAAACCCTACTTTTCGAGCCATACTCGGTTTAATGCCAATTTACAGTGATACATAATTATGTACGTATGGACGGTTCCGACAACTGGAGGACGCCATGAATTACAAATGGGTTTCCGCTGAACCCAGCATGTCCACTTGGTCGTCTGCGAAGATGCTGGGACGATTCGATGGTAAAATTAGTTGTTCAACGGTGGAAGCAAAGAGTGGAAAGCAGAGTTTGTCGGAGGAGCATCGGCTTACGTTCATACTGTACCGATAACAACGGCAAGTCATATGACAGACTCCAGGCGGATGTGCTGACCAATTGGTGTTAATAAAGACGTAGAAGTTTTGCGTGAACAGATTCTTCGAAGTTGCAGAATCTCACGACCGGACTTCATGTTATTTGTGAGCAATATCTACTGAAAGATTACAATTTGCTAGAACGTTTTCAATCATTCTGAAATTCTGATTTGGAGCAGTCAGTGGCTTTGAAAGACTGAAATATCAGTTCTGATGACCACTCATCCTTTCTGGTCACGGGGACCTGCGCATCATGCAGTGTTGTCAACGTTCCTGATTCTGTGCCAACGTTTGAGCTTCGACAGAATGTTATCTGTGTTCAGATCACAGTCTTTCCATACGTTTGCCCCAGGTTATTCTCAGACGTCCGCGAGGTCTTCAGTTTATCGATTTTGTAAGAAATAAATGGCTACGGGAACCATATTGACGGTAGAAACTTGAGTCAGAAATCTCATAAGGAAACAGCAGGAATTAATCAAGAAAATGGACGGACTCTCGTCAGTTGAACGTCAGGAATGTGGAATTCTGAACCTCTGCAAGTGGAACTGACTAAGATGTATGAACGAAAAAACGATCACTGGGTGGCAAACTTTGGTTCGCAAAGCCCATGTTTAAGGGGAGGAGGGGGAGGGATAAAACAAACTTTGAACTAGGCTCAGTGTAAATACCATGGAAAGTGATAGTTTGTACAGCATGTAAACTATTTAGCAGCTACCATAAAATGGGTTGACTCATATAGGACGGCATGAACATTATCGTGTAAGTTTGCGGCGTTCAGTAGTGAGTCTGTGACAGTTCAGATGTCAAAATCGTCTTTAGAGTATGAAGTATAGGGTTTGGATGCAATTCTATGAGTCACCTGATGGCTGATTAAAAGAAACGCCAGAGGTAAATCGAAAAAGTTAGCAGATCCTTCAGTAAGACTCCAGCAAATTATTCTAACAGAAGAAAAGAGCATGGACAGATTTATCAGAACAAACCCCGAGCAAGATGACTCTTTTGAAAGTGACCTGCACCAATAACTCTGAATACCGTAGCTATGACAGTTTCGAGTACAGAAATGCTGTACCGAATTTAATTTCGAACTGAATATGACTTTGAATCACTAATCGCTGCCCATCCTCCTACATTTTCGAATCGAAACAAGAGCCTGACACCAAAAATGTTAATTATCGAAACTGTGGCGGCAAGAGGACAACTGCACAAAGTTTGACCTATATCGGAGCTGGTTCACTATCATGAAATGCAGAGCCGTTGTGAATATTGCCCTTAGATGAACGGTGGTCTGTGTCATACAATTTTAAATTATTTTAATAATAAATGAAAGCAATTGTATGTAATTAAAACATTTTCAAAATAGTGCCCTTGTTTTGCGTTATGCTTTAAAGTTCAGCCGATTC